CCGCCCGGCCCGGCCCGGCGCTTTACCCCGCGGCTCCTGCCAGGTGTCGGGCTGCCTCCTCCCCGCCTGGCAGGACCTGCTGCGCCTTCTGCCTCGGCCAGCCCTCGGGGATCTGAGTCACCGCTTCAAAGGGCCAGGGGTGGCTCTTTGCGCCTCTTCCCTCTCATAGTCCTTAAAGGCTGCATCTGAGCACCCCCACCCGCTCCAGCTGCTCGACCCTGTTCCCTGCCGGGATCGTCGGGCTCATCTCAGCCCCGGCGCCAAAGCTCTCGAGTGTCTCCTAACGCAGCCAGGCGCTGCCAGCTTCCACCGTGCCGCTCAGACAAGTGAACAGAGGTGAATCTGTGCTTTATACAAAGTTTAGGCAAAGGCTGCAAACGCGTAGCTGGTGATGAAATATTAAACAGTGAGCAAACGTATTTAGCGAGCAGCTACAGCAGCATTGGCTTGGAGCTGCTGTCTGCCAAGGCTGAGCCGGAGTGAGAAATTAAAATCGGTGTTCGGGCAAGGTTACTGCTTAGCTGCAGTAGCACAAAATTGGAATTAAGGGAGGCTTCTGTTATCAAATACTTGTGACGTTTGCCCCTCAAGCGTTTTTCATCCTTAAAGAAAATAGGGGGTCTGTGTCCCGAGGAATCTCTGAGGCTTTGGCGGGGGATATACCGTAGAAAAGTGTGACTGCTCGTTGCTGGCACTGGAGCGCTCTTTGGGGCATCGGGGCTGGTTTGACAGTAGCTTTCAGGGCAGCTCTGGGCGAGGCAGTTGGCGGAGACTGTGGGAAATGGCCGTAGTTATCCTAAGGAGCTTGGGAGTTTGCACGGCAGACTGGTATGCAAGAGGAAAAGGATATGGGGTGTGGTTGGAGCCATCTGAGAAGCAGCCGTGCCTTGGGACAAGTTCTGGGCTGAACTTCATGGGGGATCATTGCTAATTTCTGTGTTAATAACACTGTAACAGCCAGGAGGGGAGTTTGGCCTCCATGCTGGCTCTGCCTGGGAAGGGCAGTTCGGGAGCAGCGTATGCACTCTCCAAATAATCCAGCGTGGTTGCATGGAAAAGCATGGGAAAGGCAGAGAGTCACAGGAGTCAGCATTTTCTGGGTGCTTCTCCTTCCTGTGCAGCCTGGCACTGTATTCGCTTCTGCCACAAATCAGAGGGCACCCGCTGCATCTGGGGCACTGGGCACCTCCGCTTTTTCAGGATTTGGTTCTGCGTTGTGTGCAATGGAGAGGAAACTGTTCTTGGTTTGTCACTGGACCTGTCTTTGTGGTAACAGAGGTGGTTCTGGATTTCCCAACGGAACAACTTAGGCTCATTTTTTATCTTTTGGAAACTCGGAGGGAAGAAATAGGCCAGGGAGAGACGGCTCATGCAAGCGTGCTTTGGGGCAAGAAGAGGTAGCAGGGAAGAGCAGAGCAAGGAGAAGTGAGACTATACACCAGAGTAACTCCTGGTGGTAACCCGCGGGAGCTGCAGTAGTGCAGGAAGGCATCAGTCTCCTTACAGCCTGCGTACCTGTGAAAGCCTGGCCTTCCTTTTCATCTAGAAGTAATAGATCGCTCCTTCCTTCTTCCAGTAACCGAGTCTTAAATTGGCAGAGCCTTTTCTGTTCCTGTGAGCTTGCCTGGCTGTGGACAGCATGATCTGTGCTGTGTAATCATGCAGGAAATCTTCTGTTGTAAACACCTTAGCAGCGGGACACCGGGGTAGTTTTATTGGCCTAACTAAGCAGGCTGGCTGGAGTTAAACCTGCTCGGTTGTTTATTTACACGTGTGTGCAGCAAGCAGTTAGTACATTAGAGAGTGTAAATGAGTAACTCAGAAAAATCACAGAGTTGTGTTTGAGCAGGATTGCCCTTCCTAAATTGCTAATTGCTGTAAGTACTTTTCTGTGAAAAGTTCCCGATTTGCCTCAGTCTTTTTGTGTAGAGCAGTCAGAAATTAATAATAAATATCTGCTTAAAGACTACAAATGGCACCACACATGAAGCGGAAAAAATACAACAATGCTAATAAGACTTTGCCCTTTTAATGTCTTCAGTCTGAAGACCTCCAAAGTTTGCCTGTTAAGAATTCCACCAACTGCGGCCGTTCTTGACTGTTACAGTTGGGCAATTCCGGCGTTTATGATGCCTGATTGTAAGATGCAAAGAGATTTGTCCAAGGTCACAAAGGCAGCCCGACTCAGACACGGAGGGTGACACCATAAACACTTTAAGCTCTCGGGACAAAACTGGTGCCTTGCTCTGTGTGCAGTGCATAGCTGAGCTCTTACAGCAGTCTCAGTCCATAAGCTTTACTATAGTGAAAAGAAAAATACATTCTATCAAGTAATAATAAAATTATTCTGATGTCAAATAAAACAAACACTGCAAGCAGAATGATTAACTGCTTCCACATCTGACAGGTCATGTTCTTCTCACAGAAACAGTTCACGTCTCTGAATTTTTCATGAGTGGGAAACAGTTTTCTATCCTGCTAGTTCAATTTTTCACGATGATTTAAAAAGCAAACAAATGTTCCCAGCAAGAAAAATTTGCACCATACAAAGTAAAAGGATTACTGAAAATGAGAAAGGAACAGGTAAAGCATGTCAGCATCCTCAAGGCCAATTTATTTTTGCCTTTTAATCTGCGCCTTCATTGTAAATTACAGGTACGCCCATTAACATCTCAAACAGAACTGGAAAATTAAGGCCAACAGAGGTACTTGCTGAACTGCTTTGCAGGGTGTTTGATCCAGTCCTCGCAGTGCTGCAGCAGGTTCCTGGCATGCAGCGCAAGCCTGGCTCTATCTGTAGCTGTTCTCTTCTGTCGCTTTTGTCAGCAGCGAGGGCTGCGTCCTTGTGCCAGGCGCTGGGGTGCTTCCCGCGTCCCACTCTGCCGCCTCGGCAGAGCACTGCCGCGGGCGAGAGGCTGGCTGACCTGCAGGCACCATGTCTGCCTCCGCGCGGGACTTCCGCGGGGCAGCGCGGCTCTGTTTGCACTGCAGCCAATGGAGGGAGTAACAGTCATTTTTTTCCTCTTTCAGAAACTGCAGGAGACCGGGAGTTAAAAATAAGGACGGGCCTGGCTGGAGGGAGAGCAGAGGAGAATCAGCCCTGCAGAACAAGCTCCAGTGCAACCTTCGGAAGGACAGAGCACATGAAGCGGTGATGGCCTCTTTGCCCCTCTCCGCTTCTCTTCACGTGAGTGATTCAGCAGTGGGATTCAGCAGCACAGAGGCAGCCTTTGCTGTTCGATCCCTACTGCATGGAGAGTTAGACGCTAAGTGTTCGGGGCAAGGGCAGGCCTTCCTTCCCATGTTTTGTTGTGCTGCCTCAGCCGCCCCAGTGGCCTCACTCGTGTTTGTACTTCTGCCCTTCCTATGCTTTGCGTTGCTCTGAACCTCTTCTTTGGCTCAGAGCCACTGCTTCTGCGCCGTCTCTGGCCCATGTTCAGTCATGCCTGCTTGTAGACAGTTGGGTGGGTCTCTCACACTATGCAGAACTTTTCATTGCACCCTGTTTGCGCGTGCTACCAGGAGGAGAGCTACGAGGAGAGCGGCAAGCCACCTCTGCTACTTGCCTGGTACGGCACCACGTGTGCTGCAGACCTCTCAGCAATGAGACCGGCTGCCGGGCAGTGAGCTCCAGGAGGGGTAGGGGGCAGTTAGTAAAGGGAAAGGGAATCGCCAAGAAAAGGGGGAAAAAACCCAACTCCAAACTCCATGGCCGATACTGCAAGGAGCTGGGGAGCACAGCCAGCAAGTGGAGGAACTTCCTAGAAAGCAAATGAGGGTGAGGGGACTGGAGCCCCAAACAGCTGAGGCAGAAGCACCCGCTGCCCCCCCCAGCCTGGCAGCTTGTATCTTAAGTATTGTCTCTGGAAGCCGAGGTAATAACCTTGGAAAACTCACTCACGGTCAGGCCTGTTCCCTGGACCCGGCCATCTCATTTACCTGTGTCCTCCCAGGCCATGGAGGAGGTCTGGATGGCCAGGTCTTCAGTTTATGCAGTGCGTTCTATGGAGCACCCCGATCTCCTGGGCAGACCTCGTTCTCTTAAGTATGCTAACTGGGGGGTAGAAGCAGTGGAACAGATATCGCTAGTTTTCCTGAAGGACAGTATGTTATGAGAAAAAAATTAAAATGCAATTTAATAGGTCAATGGGATTTTCTTGAACATATAGTTAGTTACTCATTGCTATTTGTAGGACTATTGTTTGAATATGCAGCCTTCAGACTTTTTTTTTCATTATGGCTTTGAAGAACAAACTCATACTTGTTTTAACAAGTCACATCAGGGGAGATGTTATTCTGTGCTCTCCACCCACACAACCCTGGGATTTATTTTCATTTGAGAGCTTGTTAAACATAGCAGCAATCAACTGAAGAAACCAATGTTCCAAGGCACAAAGGATTCGCACCTATAAATCATGAACTTCAGTAGTGGGAAAGGACCATCGTTGCTTTGAAATGGAACGGTTGCGCTCTTCAACGCTACAAGAGCTTGGCTGTAGCTTTTAGTTCTGTGACACCAAGTGACTGATCAGATTATATCTATGTAGGTTCACGTGCTCTCTGTCCACCCTTCCTATACAGATGGGCCTAAGGGGAAGGACAGAAAAATAAAAAGCATCTGACAATCACGAAGTGACAAACTTGCAGTAGAATTCAGTCCTACAGTAGGATGTGAGGGACCAGATTTCACCCCAACTCCTGCCTGGGGGTGGTTTGTGCAGCTGTAGCAGCGGTTACCCCATGACAGCCATTGATCACCTTCACAGAAGGCTCCGGGCCATGGTTGTGCGTGTGTGTCTGCAGTTTTTTCAGTGTGCTTAAGGAATTCTCCTATTAAGGGAATTACAAATTTAGTATGAAACTTCTGGGATAGCTAAAATATGAATATTGTGAAGACTTGTTATTCCAAGTCAGGGACATTTGGAAATATTTATGCCAGTCAGAGAGAGACAGCGTAGTATTTTAGGAATTAGCCACTCACTTTACGGGTCAGTCGTGTTGTCTGTGAATAGCCACTTCCTTCCTCCTCTTCCTCGTAGAGTTTTGCCCTACTTAACTCTGGAACAGAATTTATACCCCCACATTGAGAAAGTTCTGAATTTTTTTACTTTGCTTTTTCTTTTTCCTTTGCAAAATATTTTAGCAGCACCAGCTGGGCAGGGATTTTTAAGCTGTTTCCTAAGACAGAACTGCTTGCTCCAAGGGTGCAATTTTTCCCCTAAATACAGTTTCTCCAACTGCATAAAGACGTAACTAAAATAAAATCCTTTCTCCTTTCATTCCCTCGCTGCGGTTACAGTGTATTGTGTGATCTCAAGTAGCGGGGAAGCTCAACTCTCCAAATGAGGAACTTCAAAAACGTGTTTAGCAGCAGTGATTTAGTACATGGTGTTCAGGAAACACCTCCTGTACGGCTCCGCGCTCCGGTCAGCGCTGCTATTTCTGATTTAGGATTAATGAACATTTCCTCTCAGGTAAAGAAAATGTGCTCCTGAAATTGAACAACTCGGAAACTGCGGCTCTGCCACTCGTGCAGTCCCTACGGGCAACAGCGGCACCGCAGCGTCACCCTGTCCATTTGCCTGACTGTCTGTCTGTCAGGCCTAGCGGTAGGGTTAGGATGCAGGAACAATAAGATGTCTCAGAAGGAGTCAATGCAGTTACGCTTTAATGTGTTTTTACATCCTTTTACGATTCACAAAGCCAGAATATAAGTACTTATACATTTTTAATAGGAAAGTAATATATTCCCCTAAAAGAAAAATAGATTTGATTAATCATTTGTCATAAAAGTTGCCTGACAGTTGAAACTTCAAGCTTCTAAGCTAGAAAAGCTCAAATAGACAAATTATACTGAAATGTTCTTTAAAGACCAAGCAGCTGTTTTATTAAAATATTAAATTTACATTTTAAAAAGAAATATTCTGATTTATTATTCAATGATGATAATCTTACTGAAGTGACATGAAATTCATGACAATGGGCTTTATTCTGTCCAAATTCTGTCCTCAGTTATCCACAGGCAAGCAGTTTTGCCGTTATTTAGAAGTGTGCAAGATCACACACACAGAGAAGCACCATTCTGGAAAGACAAATCCGAGATACTGCATTCAACTCAGTTCTAATTTTCCCCAGAGAAAGTGGGTTTTCGGGTCTGGGACTAGGGCTGGATCCAGCGCCTGCTGCAGTGAGGCCCTGGGGCAGGCCCGCAGCACCCATCCAAATCTCACCGTCACAAGAGAAAGGATTTTGGAATGCACCGACTTCGTCCCGCAGCACAAGTGAATGACCTTCAAACAACTTGAAGCGGGTTGAATTTACATTTTACTTCAAAAAAAAAAGGGAAAGTACATACATGAGGGGGAAATGGGGTGAACAACAATTATCTGAAACCAGGTTTCTACCATTTTTACCCACAGTTACCAACTGCGTTTGAAGCAGCAGGGCTCTTGCCAGCTGTCGCACGCTCGCTTACAATATGGACAGGATTGTGGAGCAAGGAAACATTTTCAAAGTTGAGGCCCACATGGAAATAGTAAGGTATCATACACGGTGTAAGTTTATAGTACACAGCATTTTTTTTTTTTAAATGACGTAACGCAACAGCAGGAAGGAGTAGTAGTAGTTAACGGTTACTAACACTAGAATAATCAAATTTGTATGTTATACATATACAGCAACTAACTGCTTTACAAAAAAAGCAAAATAATACAATATATTGTCACATGTATTTACAGTGTAGTAAATATACTTTTCTGTCAAATTTTACACAAAAACTATTTACAGGTGAATATACTGCATTAAAAAAAAATTGTGGGACCAACACTAAAAGTGACTTTCTGTGGTAAGTTTGTTGCATAACAATAAGACGTGCTTCATTACATTTGGGAAAAAAAAAAATTAACCTTAGAATGAAACAGAAAAAGCCCTAAAACCTACAACCCAGTTAGGAATAGAGCACTGGAACGCTCCCAGGTGCTCAGTCCACAATACGGATTTGAAACGTTTCCTGTTCTTGGAAACCTCATGCACATTAAAGCAGAAACATTGGCATAATTAACAGGTAGGTTATGCACTATCCAAATACTACTGAATTATCTTTTAAGTCAGGGAAAATACAAACACAAACAAAACGTTAATCGTCTTTACAGTACTTAACTGTAGTTAGTGCGTAATGGGTAACGTGTTCTAAAACAGGGGTGTCAGACATACAGTCCCCGGGATGTAGTTAGGTGGTCCATGTGTTAAAATCGGATTTTTCCGAATCGTTAAGTTTTCGTTTCAAAGTACACAGACTCCACGGCTGCAGCAGCCCAGGCAGGAGCGACCGCCCGGCAGGCGCTGGAGGGTCGGAACGCTCGGATCCGTCTCCCGCTCGTCAGGCCGGGTTTCAATCCCGCACCGTCACCAGCAGCTACCTGCCGGTCACTGGGAGCACAAACGGAGCAGCGGGGTGGGGAGAGCACGGAAGCAGGCGGGACTGGGAACTGAGCGTGGTGCGCATGGCAATGCAACGGAGCGGGATGGGGAATATTCAAAAGAGGAGAACAAAGAAAAGAGGATGCCAGAAAGAAAACAAAAAGGCAAAATAACAGCAATGGCTGTTACAGGGGCAGGCTGAGCGATGACTGTGACAGTAAGGCACTGAACAACTACTTACTGATAGGAGTTCAATCACTAACCAACAGCTGCATTTTCCCCCTGGATCACAGCACAAGCTTCCCAGCCACCGGTGCTGGGAGGTGACTGCCTTGCACGTCAGGCGCACGGGATCCTGAATTCAACCCCAGCCCTTGGCTGTAATTACACCCAAATCCAGCCCCCGTTACCCGACGCATTTGACACTCCTGCTCTAAGGAAGTTCAGGTCCTCTCACTGAACCACGCAGTGAAAACATCAAATGACTCCCACTCCTCCCAGGAAACAGAATAAATTAAATTTTATTGACTCACTTTATGAAGACAGCAGTTTTTTTTCAGCTGGGACTGAGAGCCTGGAGTAGTTCTAGTTCTCACGTGAAATGTGATTTTAATCACTGTCCATTTTGGTTTCACATTATATGTATTTCAGAGAATGCATTAATTCTAACTTAGGGACGTTTTTGGGTTTTTTTTTTTTATATAGGCGATGCAAAAATATCGCAAGGGTTGCTCTCAAATGCACCCAGCCCCAACAAAGCTGGCGTGGTAGTTCATCTGGAATTACTGCTTCTGTTAAAAGAAAACCTGCTCGTAGGAGAAGCACCTCAGAGCTGTCTTTTGCTAACAGCAAATTACCTTTCCAAGAGGTTATTTTTTCCTCCTACCTACAAGTCTTCAGGCTCCTACAATTCATTGTCTTCAGCACAACGGAAAGGGCTGGGATTAGCTTGATTGGTTGGGTATAACCGAGTGCAAACTGGCGGCGATGCTGAAGGCGGCTCTTTGCCACTGCTGTATGAGATGAGAACGGTTTTTAAATGAGTGACTCCCAAAGCTTTACGGCGTAGCAGCTCGGACACGCAGGAGCCACCACTCTATTCCTACGATCAGTTCTAGCCTCCCGATCCCTTTCAGAGTTCTGCATCAGTTCAGTAACCA